GGACGCCAGAGGGACAAAGGACCATCTTTACCCGTCACTCTACGCCTAATGGGACCGTAGGTACTATCCCCAGTGTTGGATACATTGGGACCTATTTGTCCATGATTCACTTCGGAAGGCTCGGGAGCAGCCACATCTGGTTCCGACATTTCGGGTTGAGGAGTCAACTCTGCAGCCCGGTGTTCACTGGTTTCCGGAGCGGTGGCGGCTGAATTAGATCTAGGTTCTGGTGCTCTGACTGGATCTGACTCTTCCATATCCGCATCGGCCATCGGAGTCTGTTGGTTATGTTGTGGTGATTCTTCAGGAGGGTAAGACTGTGGCAACAAATCCAGGAATTGCTGACTACGGATGTTACCTTGCTCTATGAGGTCTTTGATACCCAACATTTCGGCCTGAGGAGTTCCGAGGACTGTCTTTTCCTCGGATGTAGCTGGACGAATCTGTTCAGGAGCACATCTCAGAACTTGGCGACGATGCAACAGCACAAAGTTACGGCCTACTTTACCCAGGACGACTGCGGTTCCCCACCATTGACCCCCTATTTGAAGCTTACCCTTAACCCATTTTTGGTCTCTCCAGTAAGCAACAAGGTCTCCAGGAGCATATTCTTTGGACACTCTTGGACGGGCCAGAAGAGCTACACGCAGCGCTCGGTCGTCCTGCATTTGAATTAAGGCTGAACGGGCTGTGTTTCTCATGGCTTGTGCTTTGGCAATTCCCTGCTCTGTCAGGGAAGCTGTGGCTGCAATAACATTCAACGGTTCGCTAAGCAAATCTTCGGGGATGTTAGGATTGCGGCCAAACAACATTTGGTGAGGAGAAAAGCCATGGACTTGCAACATTTGGTTCTTGATGTGGGCATGGGACACGCATTGCAACCATTCCTCTTTGTTGGACGGCTGGTGAGCATCCACAAGTTTCTCCACCAGGCGGCCAAACCAGCCACCATGAGACTCTACCTTTCCAAGTTGCCAGTGTGCACCAGCGGCAATCGGACGAATCTCTGTACCCTGTAGCTCAGATGGCGTGGCCATATTTTCTCCTAAATTGGTTCTAGCTGCATCTAGAATCAGTTCACGAGGAGGACCTAACCAAGAAATCCAATGTTCTTCAAACATCTTGCGGATGAGCTGAGCTGTTTCTTGCTCGAAAAACGGAATGACCCTCTGATATCCACTTGCGTAATCGACCAAGTTCAAAGCCTTCACCTTCTGATTTGGGCGCCATCCTCTTAGATATTTGACATCCAATCCAACCACTTGGTTCACCTCAGAGACTCGGCGTGGCTGTGCAGGCAACGGAACTGACGGACGGCACTGAGTCTTGCAAAAATCGCAGGAAAAATCCTTGGCCAGCCGGAGAGCTTGTTCACTAGCCTGACCGTGCTTCAAAACACGGATGAGGTCATGGTTTGGAGGATGACCCAAGTTCTGGTGCAACTTCTTGATGATGGGCAACAGCTCCTCATCGGACTTTTCGGACAGGCTGGCTACGGCAAGCACTGATTCCCACTGCTCAGGCGGAACCGTGTCATCTACAACTACCATCACTTCGGATGGACGTGCATCGCGGTATGCGGGAACTGTTTGCAGCACTGCCTCAACGAACTCTGGAGGATACTGACCTGCATATTGGCTCACTGACCGGCCACTACATCATGTTTTGAGTGTTCACCTGAACCTGGACACAACTTAGACAGGCTTTGCATATCCTCATGAGTCACAAGGAGACGGGTGCTCTTCCGAATGCAATTCTCACTGCCCGGGAGTCTGAGGCCGTACCTACACATGTGCAGTTTACACGTGAAAAACTGACGGCACAGCGATTGCATTTCAGGATACGTCCATGTCTTGGCGCCTGTGGGATGCTCAAACACTGCTCGCTTACCCCTAGATGCTTGTGCTCTAAACAATTTGCAACACCACCTGATATAGCTACGGCTCCTAGCGACCCTTCTGAGATACTCCATACGATCCCACCGGGTACTGTTTAGATGAAACCATCCGCCTTCATCGGTGCATGGAGGAGATAAGACCAGCAGTTCAGGTGGCGACTTCTCCAGAGCATCTTCCACGCGTTTCCTGTCGGCAGCGGTTGACAGATCATATCCAGTTTTGAGATCATATGAAAAACCCTTCATGCCGATCGCTTCAGCTGACGGAGCAAACCTGGGAGGAGAAAACACCTCTTGGACCAAACATGGATTCACCTTCACCTGAGACAACAACGCTTCATGGCAAGACTTGACTTGAGACGATAACTGGCGACTCTGTTTCACTGTTGGTCTCCAAGATGTGTCAACTATGCTTGTAGCATCATGAGACTCAATCCGTGGGTCAAGATGAAAAAACTTGGTGATGACGCATCCGGAGTTTGTGGGCAGCGGCTGTAGGGTAGCTCGCTGGTTGGCATGGTTAAGGAAATCATGTGAGGCTAAAACCCTTTTGGTTATCCCATCAATTACTACCCGCTTAGTGACAGTGGACCAGGCTGGACCATCCCTGGACACCCATGGAATACTCTGACTCCCACAGTCGTCCTGGACCCAGCAAGATGGCGTGGCTGCAGAGTGAGGTACAGCACTCCGGGCAAAGGAATCACTAGGCTCCTCCAAAGGCGCACTCACATCACAGGAATCCATTACCTGCTCAGAGACGTTCTCGGTGTCCTTGTCCCTGACCTCGGTGAGCATCACCTCGGAAAACCCCGACACTTGCTGCTCCTCGGCCACATTCCGATCCATCAAATTGATCACATACTGTCCTGCGCTGTTGCACTTCAAAGGAATGGAGACTCCATCAAAAATTTGAAGTCGGTCATGTTGGAAATCCAGCGACGCCTTCAGCGCCTTCAGGGCAGAGCGACTGATGAGCAGAGGAGCTGCTCCATTCACCACGGCAGCCCGAATCACTCCACGCTTCCCGGCAATCCAAACAGGCAGACAAATGGAATGAGTTGACGTTTCAACCTGACCATTTCCAAATCGAAATTGATGAGTCTCGTTGACAAGAGGCGGCATGATCACTCCTTGCTGTTCCCAAAGTTGTTGGAATTCTTCCAGTGTGTCACGGCCAATAATGGTGCGGCCACATCCACTGTCCAGAACCCCAAAGCCAGGGCTGGAGATCAACATCACTTCTGCACATTCAGCGAGCGTAGGCACACACGCCCGCTTCTGTCGCAGTTGTTCGATCATTGTCAGTTGCATCTCGGCCATTGCCACAAAATCTGGCTCATCTTGCACGACAGCGGCCCCAGACGTCGAAGTCGGTGTTGTCGACTTGCCAGAACCCTTGGAGACGGGAGCCTTGCACTCCCTGGCCCAATGGCCTTTGCGGCCGCATCGATTGCAGGTGGTCTGCTTCTTCAACTCCTCGATCTCCACTCTGAACGACCGGCGAACATCTTTCGCCTTCTGGAATTGACGACTCTTTTGAAGCTTGTTGAGCTCCTGTCTTCGATCTTTCCAGCTAGCGGCTAAGACTTCCGCTACGTCGTCCTCGTGGAACGTGTCTTCTGTGTCATGCACTGCTGGCTCAAGGCTGTGGTCGGCCAAAAACTGGCAGACATCATCAAATTCTGCTTCATCTTCTTCATTGGCCTCATCTTGAATACCCTGGACAGCCAACGCTTCTTCAACCAAAGCGGCACCCCGTCTGCGAATTACCAGATCTGGATAACACGACCTCAAGGCCGAGGCGATGGACTCACGTTTCAAATCGCCCCGTGAGCGAGACACCACAACGGCCCTCTGTTCATCGCTCAACATCGATCGGTTCAGCAGAATCCATCCACGAGCCTCTTCCGGAAAGGAGACACTGGTTTTCCTACTACATCTGTCAAACAGTTCAGTGGCTCGGGCTGTCCACTGCTTCATCGTCTCACCCTCTTTGGCACGAAGGGTGAAGACCTCATTCAGTGTCTCAGCCAGTTCATCAACCACTTCCAGTTTGGGAAACCGAGCGTCAAGCAGCTTCCAGATGATTTCGTCACCATCTTTCTTGTGGTAGTCTGCAAATTCCAGATGCTCCACGGCCTCATAGGCCTTTCCAGTCAGAAGTGTCATGATGAAAGCTCCTCGTGACGATTCCGCTAATTTGTCCATCGTGACCATCTTGTTCAGCACCCATGTTTTCCAGCGTCGGTACTCTTTGCCATCTTCCGACTCACCAGAAAAAGTTCGCATCGGCCCAGTCTCAGTCGTGGAACTGGTACTGGGTGTCGCCATCTGTGATGTCCCTGGACCACCACGTGGCAGCTTCGAAGAACGCCTCTTCCTAGAGGCAAGCCATCAGCGGGAGCCCGGTGCGCCGGGCTCCGCTACCAATTGCGGAGGAACGACCCTTCACCTGAAGGAGCAAATGGGCTCTTTCTAGCTCGAGTGGCGTAAAGGTCCCTGCGACATGACAGCTGTTCTGTCGAACCCCAAAGCTGGAAGAGACATGTGGCATGCTTCGACATATATATATATATGAATGATGGTGTACTCTTTGTAACTGCTAGTTCACCTTCCGAAATTGTTCATGAACCAACGAACATGATGACTTTCTACCCAACAAATTAGGGGCTTCAAGCTAGAGAAAAAAGAAACACGTATTCTTGATGGGAAAATAATCCACAAACGTGGACCCGACAGGATTCAATAAATTCTAGTCTGCCAAGTTGCATTACCCAAGGGTATTGGTGTCTCCCATCTCCCAGTTTATGTCAGTTCGGCTAGTGGGGAGATTTCAGAAAGGACTGAAATGACAAGGTACCGTTCAGCAGCCCACTGTCTATTGTACCATCTAAAAAAGAAATCAGAAACGCGGTCAATGATGTCAATGTTCAAAGGCAAACCAATGGAACTACAAGTATAAGTACGTCATTTGGAGCCATGCTATTCTGCCAGAATCGGTTTTCATGGCACAGGTTGCAAGAACCCCGGAACGTTTCATGGTATGTCTTCCCTTCAATCAATGACATTCGCAGAAAATGGCTCCCCACCCCACTGTAGCCTCTGGAAGGATCTCTGTCTGGTCCAGGAAGGTGAAAACCAAACTGGAAAGACCAAAGGACAGGAGCTGCTCCAAATACTCCTTAATCTCAGGCTCAGCATGCTCACCGAATTCTTGGGGTCAGCGGAAAAGCACATTGGAAACCCCAAAAAAATCCCAAAAACTACGTGATGCAAAAATGAATCCATGTATGTTTCAGGGGAGTAGCCCATTGTTTCCAGGGGATAGGGATCTGTGCAGTTTGCCAACCGGAGTCCACCTCTCCACCACTTAGACTGAGCCGTAGATCCTATCCAGTGAACCCAAGTGAACCCATTTGGACCTCAAAGTGTTGAGCCAAAGTCTCCAAGCAGAATAGTGTGGTTCAAGTGTGTGGTTCCCTCCTTCCAAAACCGTCAGTTTTGGGGAATAGATCTTGGTCGAAATTTCAGTTCCAAGAAACCTTGGGGAAGACTCGTCACCCAGCCCCAGCCGTCACCCCAAGCTGTCCGCATGCACTGCCCTAGGGCCCTAGCCGCATAGATGTGAAGATTCACTGCGTCCATACGACGAAAAGCCCTCAAGGCGCCGATTTTCTGATCGTTCCCAAGACCTAGACCTCGCCCAATAGGGCAAACCATGAAAAAGACTTCAAAAATCCTAGGATGACTAGGATGACTAGGATGACTATTTGCTTGTCCAGCTTCCGGAAAACCCCATGTTTCGTCATTGGGGTTGAAAATGGTAATAGCTCATAGCTCAGCTCCATGGCACAAAATTTTAGAAGGAACAGTTGGGGGTTCCTTAAAAATCACGGTACCCCAAATCATCCAGTCGTCATGGATGACCATTTTTCTGAGTATTGAAACATCTAACGAAACCCATGGTGACTTGGGGTACCCTCTGGTAAACGTTTACATAGCTATTGAAAATCACCATTTTTTTATTGGTAAATCAACTATTTCTATGGCTATTTTCAATAGCTATGTCATTTGTTTACCAGGCCGGGTACCCCCATTTTAAAAGAAACCTCCAAAAATGGTGGATAAACCAAGCGATTTCACATCAAAAACTGCTGCCAGCCCACTTCAGCTTATCAACGACGGCCCGCTCATCCGGCAGTCCCTGGCGGAGATGGCTTAGGAACGCAGCAACCTCTTAGAGGTTTCAGAATGTTTAAGGGACCATCCAAAAATTGGAATATATTGTCTACCTAATATTATCTATGTAATAATAATATGTATATATATATATTTATTTATTTATTTATCTATCTGTGTGTGTGGTTTAATACATACATACCATTATGTGTATACATATATATACATATATATGATTCTATATAACTATATATAATTACAATTATACATATATATATATAGTTCTATATAATTATATATAACTATATATAATTACAATTATATATAACTATATATAATTACAATTATATATAACTATATATAATTACAATTATATATAACTATATATAATTACAATTATATATATAACTATATATATAGTAATGAATAATAATAATAATGATAATATCATATATATAATACATTGTTTATATTATATAATATTATATATATTGTGATGATCTCCACTGAATCGATAGAACAAAAATGATCAATCTATGTCGGAAAATGGAATCAACAGCGGGCAATTCGAGATCGCACCATTTGTCACTCCGCTGCCTAGCTCAGCTCAAAGGGCGCCTAGATTCGAACATAAAAGGGCCAATCGCAAAATGTATGACCAACGTGAACTGACATGATGCACCTTCGTGACACCAATACAATTCCTTTTCTCAGTTCAACGTTGGATATCTGTACCAAAATATCTGGCGAATGGATCTTCGAGCCATTCTTGAGTCAAATCTGCCCCAACTTCTTCTTTCATCTTTTGTCTTCTCATTCTTTGTTGTTTGCGAGCAGATATAAAAGTATCATTGAATTTCAGAACCCATGATTTCCTTTGCAAAAACATCATAAACGTTTTCCAAGACTCAGCATTATATTTTGAGAGGGTATCCGACAAATTCATATCGGATGGTACCCACGCTGGATGCTGGTTGGAGTGTTCTTCCAACCCTTGACTAATCGCAAGAACATCGATTGATGATCTAGAATTTTCCATTGACATACCAGGAACTTCGGTTGAAGTCAGTGCATCATAGCATCCACGGCTATCCATGACTAAGAAACTGAGAAACGTTGAAACCAGTTCTTCAGCATTCCCTCGGTTCAGTCTAAGCCCTTGCAGTAGTGCAAAGATCAAACGAGCTCTAAAGCCTTTGTCCTCAGCTTCATAAACAGCTTGAGATTCAGAACCATTGCTTCCCAGAGAAATTCTGCGCGATTTCCAACTTCGCCAATCTACCAGTGTGACTGGACTCTCAGTGCCGCTGCAAATCTCAGGAGTAGTAATTCCTATTACTAACCCTCCAGTAGATGAACTATTTACCCGATTTTTATGACTAGCATCTCCCCAACTTACAAAAACCAAATCCTGGAAACTCAGTTTGTTCTTGGCCGGTCTACCGTAATTAAACGCATGAAACACAAGATCATCCTTTGCAGTCTTCTTCATGTCTTTGACGATGCTGTTCGCTTCTTGCAAAAGACCAACTGTAGGTTTGGTAATCTGTGAGGAAGCCAAATTGATACGGGCACAATACTGTGGAGCTGTTTGCAGAGCCCTCCATTGCGCTTTCATCAACAATGCTCTTGTTTGGGAAACTTCATGTGGTTGAAGAGGATCTGATTGGGATCTAGATTTCTCATTCTCGATGACAACTGGAAACAGTGAATTGCAAAACTCCTCTTGAGACATTGAAATGGAATATGTCAGTGATTGTGATAGCTTACAGCCAGAAAAATGAAATTCGCCACGTTGCCATGGAGACCAACGATAAATCTTCTTGAGCTCATCCCTGAATTTCAACCAACATGGATCTTGCATGTCACCACCAAAAATAAAATCGTCTACCTGTGACCCAATGCGTCCACAAATCTTTCCGTCCTTGTTTGGAACAACCCACAAACATCTGTCAACAGGATTTTGAATGGCACCCAGTTTGTTCAGTTTTTGTGATGCATCCTTCCAAAAGATGCGAGGTGCATTTGTCAAGCCATAAATAGCACCCATGATTCGCAACAAGCTGCCTGGTTTGACACCCATTGCCAATGCCACTTCTGGTACTGCCTTAGTCCAGATTCTCCGGCCTTCTTCTTGGTTTTCTGCTTGAAGAAATGCTGACTTTGCGTCGGCTGATTCAAGTTCATGTTCATCAAATGCTATCGATTGAAGAAGAAGATGTTTACCAATTCGGGATATTGTAGGACTTGATGTTTTCAAAACAGGTCTACCAGTTTGATTGTCTCGTGCAATAAGGTCTGGATGTCTGAAGCCAATGATAACCACCCGTGCTTTTGCCTTTCTCTCACCAGAAGCACATGCAACATGAGGACCTGGACCAGTGGGTTTCTCTGCAGGATACTGTGTTTTCCATGTTAGGACCCAACGCATAGGGAGATGCCTTTCGGGATGCTTCATAGCATCTTCATATTCAGCATGGGATTGAACCCTTCTCAACGCCATTGATTCGATGACCTCAGATACCTCTCGTGCCTTTGCTTCGTCAAACAATTCCTTGCTACTCTCTGACAACGACTCATAGCGAACTTCATTATGTGTAGCGGATTCAAGGACCTTCTTGACATATAAGATGTTATTTGACACAAACGCATCTGTATCGGAAATCTCAAACTCAATGAACCATGCCTTACGAGAACTCTTACCACGCTTGTATTCATCATGTAACAGAGATAACGTATGAACTTCCTGTTCTTGTTCCCGTTGAATATAGTTCAAAGTTTCACGCGTCTCTCGATCATGCTTTTCCATGTTTTCAATATGTTGCAAGATCTCCCCTTGAACTTCTGAATCCAATTTGCAAAATGCTTTGAAGTAAACTTCAGCTTCTTGAACACCGGATGAACTCGAAAAAATTGTATCTGCAGTTTCAACCATAGGAAGAGCTACTGGACCTTGAGGTTGATCAGAAAAATCATGTCTCATTTCAGAATCAGGGAGTTCCATCATTGGTGGAAGTCCTTCTTGACGCCTGTTGTTATTGATCGAAACTAGTTGATTCCACCTCCTTCGTAGCTCTTCTACGCTTGCACGACGCCTCTGCTCAATTGGACGAGGATCATCATCCAACTCCCGTTTAAAACCTCTGCGTAGTTGATCTTCCCAATCGTCTCCACTTTGAAGGTCAGGAACAGCTTCTTCCTGGTCAGCGGATGGAATTTTACTGGGGATGTCTTTGGCCTCTCGGGTAACATCAGTGTAAGTTTGAAGTCTCTTCAACAGATCTTCTTTTGGAGGAACAACTGACTTACCATTCTTCATCATATCCACTAAGATATCCGTCTGTGTTGCAAAACGCAGTTGCTCTGGAGCACATCTGTAAACTGTTGAACCCAACAATACCCAAACAACACCTGGCCGTCGATCTGCTTCAATGGGAGGCTCAATGAAAATAATTCTGCCTGGACCAATGAATCGTGGTTCGGGATTGAAATCTTTGCTGTGCTTCTTGGATTTCAAAATTGCCGTTCTCCAAATACACACATGATCACCAATGGAAAATTGAAAAGGATCTCTTGGAGCAGCATTCAGCAATCGTGTTGTCATAGTCCTTGCTCTCTCCTCTTCGTTGATTCTCGCAGCAACATCCCGTTTGTTTTGAAGTTGAAAAAAAGTTTCTGATCCAAAAAGATTTGACTTGTTTGCAAACAATGGATCATTCGGATTTTCCCAAGCATCTGGATCCACACCATAAGCCCATTGAATAGGAGAAAAACCTTTCTGACGATGCATATGATTGTGAGAAAACGCAGCCAGAGTTGCCACCGCCTCTGGAGAAAGGGTTGTGTCTTCTGTTCGAAGACGTCTCATTGTTCTCTTCAGGGCTCCTATCAGGCTCTCTGCCACACCATTTTGCCAATGAGCTTCAGGAGCAGTTACCGCACTGCCTATTCCAACTGTTTGTAAAAACTCTGGAAATACCCCTTGTGCAAAAGATGTCTGACTATCCATAAGAACCCATCTCGGTCTCGGTCTATGTAATAACCATGTGTTGCAAAATGAATCAATCACTTTGTGTCCTGGATCTGTTCCTGTCATAGTCAGAGCTCCCGTCCAGGTGCATGCCACAGCAACGAAATGCATGGCTGTGCACATCATAATGATGTACCGTGCCTTTGCCTGATGGTGTGGAAAACTCAATTCAAATGCATCTATTGCAATGATCTCCCAAGGTTTCCTTTGGTCTGAAATTGAAACAGGAAGGACTTTTTGAGCACCACGTTGAGTTTCAGAACAAGCTTGACATCGAAGGTGTTTTGCTTCATGAACAATCCATGGAGCCATCTTTCTAGTTTGACATAGTCTTGCTAAACTGGAATTTGTTGGGTGACCTGCTGCACGATGTAAACGATGAAGCATGGATCGAACCTTTTCTCGTTCTTTGTCTGTGGGAACATATTCTTCGTCTTTGTTGCCATCATCTCTCACATCTGTTTGTGGTTTTGTCATAGTCGGTGGAGTCTGAGAACTGGAAGACTCACCAGTTGTGGCTGGAAAAAATTCTGCGGCGCAAAGTTCATCTGATTCTTGCAGCAAACGTTTCAACTCTGAGTCATTGACTTTGGAATTGTACAGGTTCTTCGTCAAGGTTGAGTGATCCACATGAAACCACTGCTTCTTCCAAATTTGAACGATCCGACGAACCATGGACTCAGGATAAAATGCTGTCGAATGAACTGCTTCCGATCCCATGCCTACAACCTGCCTATGAGTATGTGATCCATCGCATTTGATAGTTGCTGAACAGAAGAAATCGAAATCAGTTGTAAGAACATACCATTGTTTGTTAATCAGCTCATCTTTGAACTTTAGACCATGCATGCAACCATGGATTTCTGCAAAATACAATTTTTGTGAGAAATTCTCTTCCAGCCATCTTCGCAGAACTTCCCACTCTCTGAGTTTCCATCCAAAGACAGCGTTTTTCGGCCACTCCATATAGAGATGTGTTGCACCAGGTCTTCTCGCATAAGCTGCTCGGAAAATGTCAATCAAATTTCGAATCTCTCGGATTGTTCTCAAACGTTTCTTGTACAAATTCCTTCTTTGAAATTCAGTCTTTTGATTCAAATTCTGAATGCTCGAAACTGCTGTATACTTCGGTGATGCCCAGATTCGCGTCGGTTTCTGTTGTGGAATTTGAGCTATCAGTTCTTGAACTTTCTGCTTGTTTGCCAAATCAAAACCAGATTCGTAATTGTGTCTTGTTGCTTTGAACCCTTGCTTGGTCATCTCACGGCTTAATGCTGAGAATGGGCTACAACAAATTTCCCATAGATGTTCCCCCTCATTGCCTCTCAAATCACGAAGGGCTTGAGATGAATCGAAGACAGACCAGTTTGATTGCACGCTCTGGCTCAAGGACGTCTTCTGCTGTGAGGTCATTTGGAAAATCTCGGACTCAGTCAGGTGGTCGATGGGGAAGGCATTGAGGCCTTCGCCTTGGCCTGACTCTTCACATCCTTCTCCGGAGGGGCAAGGTCCTCGAACGAGCCGTCTGAGATCTCCTCGGTCTCTGGAGCTCGGTTCTTCTTCTTGCTTCCTTTGGGCATGGACTTTCCCTTGGCCTTCTTTGGATCCACCACAAACTCCGAAGCCACAATCTTGATCATGTTCTTCACAGTGTTCTCCTCCAGGGTGTCGTGGGTCCATCCCATTTGTCGCAGACGTTCTAAGGCTGATGTCACATTCGTTGGAAGAGGCTCCTGGCATGAATTGGCTGGGGCTGATGCTGCTGGAGTGTAACTGGCACGGAGATTGCATTTGATGCATTCTTCCCATTTTCCCCAGCGGTTGTTGAACACCTTCAACTGGTGACGGCCCATGCACGGCCATTGGGTCTCTTTCCAGCGAGGATCTGCTCCCCAAGTGATGGACTTCCGGGTCTCGTCGAACACTGTCTGATAGCCCTTCTTGGAACCGGACTTTGGCTTTGGACGGAGAGGGTGGTCTGATTGATTGGCTGCCGTATCTAGGTTCATTTCTTTCAAAGTTTCGGTCACGACTGCCTTCATCATCTTCTTCAAATCGTTCTCTTCGGCCATGGGGCAAATCGTTGCGCAAAATGGAAGCGACTGATCGGTTGCCACCACTGGTCACTGTCAATTGAGAAAGAAAATTCCACTGAGTCTCATCAACTCCCAAATGTTGAGCGAAGTGTGAATGGTCGGGATATTGATTTAATGCAAAAAGGTGAAAATCATGAATGGGTTCATCATGCATCGAGGACTGTCCATGGATAGAATCAGGTTCACTCAACTCATCTGTACACGTCGAGGGGATCATGAATGACTCTTCAATTGAGGAATGAAAAACTGTGCTCGAAGGAAATGGGATGTCTGTAGCGAAATCCAGCAACGCATGTCCCTTGGAAGTAGTTTTCAAGACACACATTTTGCCAGAAACCACTGCGTGATTGTTACTGCAATTAATGATGACACCAAGTTGACGCAATTCCCTCATACCCAACAGAACCGGTACGTTCACAGCAGGCAAAGAATACACATGAAATAGAATGCCACCCGTTGCAATCTCAACACGAAAAAGTGCTTGTCCCCACTTCCCATTCCCAAATCTGAAAAATGGTTTGTCCTCTTGCACGATCTTGACTTGCATGTCTGGTCGGACCTTTGCTAACTCAGTCACTAGATCTTGAACTGCTTTCTGTCCTCCAGCGCTCACCGTAGCCCCTGTGTCCACCACGCATCGGGTCGCACCCGGCTCGAGAGGGCTTGATGCCGAAGGCGTCTTCAAAGACGTCTTGGATTGGGCCGTTGTAGCATAGATATCACCAAGATCTGACTCTAATGCTAGCATACCAGATTCGTACATTTCGTGAAACCATGCTTTCTGAGGCTTTCCTTTGCCTTTGGAAAAATGGTAACCTTTCTTTCCCCCTTTGGGAAAGCTCTTAGAGTTCCACATGACTGATGAACCCTGACTTGGAGAATTGTAAAAACCGGGGCTAGATGAATTTCCTTTGAACTTCGACTTCCCTTTTCCTTTTTGGGAAACATATGTGCTGGTTGGTTTGGATTTCCCCGTCTGTCCTTGCCAACCTCGATCACGTTTGGCATCAGCTACTGCTTGGCGAGCTTGGATGAGATTCCGCTGATTCTCAGCTAAGAGGAGTTGAAGGTTCTTCTCCTCCTCCTGGAGCTGGCTCATCATTGCAGCATGCTCGGGGTCGTCATGATCACCTTGAGGCTCTTCGATCTCAGCTGATTCGTCTGGCCATTGATCATCTTGACCAAACATCGTATCTTCCCACTGAGACTCTTGATCATGCCATGATTCACCGAGAAAATGTTCTTGGCATTGGTCATAGTCTTGGGGGTCATTCCATCCAACGTCATCTTCACTACCAATCCAATGAGCATGAAACCCTTTGTGATGTCTACCATGGCGTTGGGGTTGAGCTTCTCGACCTCGATCTTCGTGCATGCTAAGCAAAGCACTGCGAACTTCTTGATATCCAAGTTTGTTTTGAGTGGAAGCTTTGATCAATGATTTCTCATAATCAGTCGATGAAGTTGCCTCAAGGATCATCCATCCTCTGATAATATCAAGGGCAGCTAAGGGAATTAACCCTTTACTCATCAACATCTCGAGAAGATCACGTTTTCGAGGAAGTTTCTTCGCTGGCTGAGGCGGAGTCTTCTGGGAATCATGTTGGGAACCTGCATGAGAAGGTGCCCTCGATCCAGCCTGAGAAGCCGGCCTTGACCCAAACGGATTTTGGGTCGTAGCCGAACTTTCATCTTCAGGAGGCTGGGGAGGATTCAGCTCTTCATCTTCTTCCTGCAGTTCATCCTCGTAGAAAAAGGATTCCTCCGGTCTCATGCCACAGAACACCCTAAGCTCTTTCTCTGTCACTTCATACTTGGAGAAATCAAGTTGTTTTTCCCTGAGCAGTCGTTGAAGGCTTCTCCACATAGTGTCATAGGAGTATTCTTCTCACACAAGAAATTGGGGAATGGTCTCCTGAGGTTTCCGGGATAATTTCCGATAATACTGAGACAGCTTGGCACCAGCATCTGGGATTGGCTGACGATTCATCGGTGAGTTCTCCAGAAACTGAATGAGACGCTGGATCCCGGTTTCGTCATTGAAGTTGTCGGGATTCAGTTTGTACATCAATGTCCTGAGACTCGTGTACTCTGAGTCCAGCATGCGACGTACAAGCCTGGCTGCCGCGAATGGCCTGTCTGAAGGCTTCGTCGCTGCTAGGTACCAACGAATCTCTTGGACATAGTGCTGAAAGTCTTCCGGTCTCCCATTCCACAGTGGAACTTTGCTGAAGCCCTTGGCATCATCATCATCATAGGATCTTCCGCCACCCTTATAGGACATGATCAGGAAAAACACTAAGATCTCAGGATGAAGTGTAGGAAGCAGATGAAGCCACAAAATCCTCTAAGTCCCTGGATCTTGCAGCTCCGAAATACCAATGTGATGATCTCCACTGAATCGATAGAACAAAAATGATCAATCTATGTCGGAAAATGGAATCAACAGCGGGCAATTCGAGATCGCACCATTTGTCACTCCGCTGCCTAGCTCAGCTCAAAGGGCCCCTAGATTCGAACATAAAAGGGCCAATCGCAAAATGTATGACCAACGTGAACTGACATGATGCACCTTCGTGACATATATATATATACGTATATAATATATATGTATGCAATTATACGTACGTACGTACGTCCGTATATGTATGTATGATGTATATATGATGTATGTAACGTACGTATGTTAGGTAGGTAGCTAGCTAGGTAAGTAGGTAGGTAGGTAGGTAGGTATGCATGCCTGCATGCCTGCATGCCTGCATGCCTGCATGCCTGCATGCATGCCTGCATGCATGCCTACATGCCTGCATGCCTACGTGCATGCATGCATGCATGTATTTATGTTCTTTGTGTACATACAGGGTTTCCTAATGCTTCCTGCAAGCGTTCTCTGAAAAACCTGGAACCAAACGTTTGAGGCCCATCCATGGGCCATGGGCCCAGGAAGGGTTCACTATTGATCAGCAGATTGGTGGATTCATCCTGTGTCAATTGATTGGTGGCTTCTGTGCTTTGGAGGATTTGAAAACGTTGAAAAAATGTGCTTGAGGAAACTTTACGAAAAGTAACTCAAAAATTCGGCTGGTCATGCTAAGTGACGGTTTCCCCCCATCAACAAAGATCATGTGAGGCATCAACTATTGCATCATTGCATGGATAGTCAACGAGTAGGCCCAGTGGGGAAAACCTCATTTTATCGTCATCCCAAATTGATTCAAGCATGTATTTCGAGATTTCTGTTGATCCTCGTGATGTGGGTATCATCAAGGGTGTTATTCAACATGTCGTTTGTCGGCAGGGGTGTGTCCCAGATTTGGAAACTCCAAACTGTGGGATCTGAAGTTTAAGAACCCACCCTTTTTTTTTCGTTGCGACAATTGTATAAAGAACATCTCCCACTTTTATTCATTTTTTTCGGATTCCTGGGATTCCAGGGATTCCAGGGCTGCTGCAGCTGCTGCCCCGGCCTGAAACCACTCACGGGGTTTTCCAGCGGATTCCAAATAGGATCTAGACCTTGAGTCCGTTGCGACCGGATCGGAGGGGCCGTTGCGATGGCATTTCTTGTTCTGAAATCCCACCTGGGGAGAGTGAGAGTCCACAATTTTGAGACCTATCTTGTCTTGAAACTATAGGGGGGAGTGATAAATCCTGACGTGGATGGTGTGGACAGAAGAAATTTTGTCAGTGCATATGTGATATGGAAAGATAGACATCAACACATAAGTTCCATCACAACCACAGATGTCAATCCTTTTTAGTACAAAAGCATCCCATTTTGGGGTTCTTTAACTTTGACCCAAAAGCATATGGCATGCTAGGGGTATCAAAGATCCAAATGCTCGACCCCACAGCCATTTACCAGCCCGTCCCTGCGCCCCCGGACTCTTCCCAACGACAGCGCCTGCATGGACGGGCTGTCAAGTTCTGCCACAAGCTCTTGCATCCACTGCTCAATGATAATTTTCTCAAATAAAATTGTCATGAGTTGCTGTATACCCCATGTTCATCCATTTTCCAGAGCTGGGATCCAGTAAATTTCAAGCCTCTCCCATCCCATCTGACCCCATCCGTGCGGGGCTCCACACAGGAAGAGCGCTAGGCCCAGGTAGAAGCGCGCGGTGGGACTAGAGAAATCCTCCGTGCTGTGGGGCTGAAGCCCAATGGTGTCTAAGTGTCAACAAACCTGCCCTGGCAGATGATCATGTGACATCTGATGCCTATTCCCTCTAGGACCTGCAGGACTCCCAACTCTTTGAAACTTTGATCGGATCTTTATCCTTTGAAGCCTGCCGCCGCTGTATAGAGTAGCAAAGCTTCAAGAAACTCCAAAGAATCAACAGCTCGCATCCAAGGCTAAATTCAACCCTCCCATCAAGATATCAAAGGCTACAGCGGCTAAGATTCTGACTCCTCTCCAAGGGGAAATTTGCAGGGTTTGCCCCATTTCATGGGACAAACAATGGTGTCTTGCGGATGTTCCCTTCAACCAATCCATGTTCGTTGGTGAAATCCTTATTTTGGTTGGCAAACACCAAACAATTGGGGATAATCACCCTTTTAAACAGCTAAATCATCATGTTTATCACAAATGGACCATGTTCGCTATGTCAAAGATCACCAGAGGGTACACCATCTAAATCATATTTTCCTAGGGAAAACATGGGTTTTTTCACGGTCTTCCACATCTTTTCGTATGTTTTGCCGGGTACACGTTCCCTTCATCTGACCCCCCCGAGTCGCTGCCTCCTTATGCTTGGCCTCAAAGACGGCGATGGCTTCTTCGTAGCGCCCGCGGTCCTCGAATCCCACGCGGTGGATGGGGATCCAGACACCCAGGGCCAGAAAGAAACAATTCATACGTAGACGCTCATATTCAAACATGCAGTGGCAACTGGCAACATAATAAATAAAAATATATTTGTATATATAAATATATACATATTATATATATATACAATATGATAAAGTATGATGTAATGAAATATCAGTACATCCCGGAGAAAAGTGAGAAAAGAATAGAAAGACACCTAGTGAGGCATCAGCAATTAGCCAAAGCTTCGTTCTAGTGGATATCAACGAAGCTGCTACTAGAGTCATCCACCTGCCAAAAAAAGGCCGGAAGTAGAATATGACGCTTATTTCTCATGAAAAGAAAAGCAAGCACAAAATGTGATAAGGAATCTGAAACAACCATGCCATGGCTGAAAATCTGGTTGCTCCAAAGTCGAGTGTCAAGACTGACCGAGACTGAACTCCTTCCCAGGGTCCGGGGATCCACACCAACACCAAACAGGCCAGAAATAGTTCCACCTCCAGACAGGGAGCAGCTCCCAAAAAACCCAACTGGTCAAAATATCTCGCAATTCTGTAGATCATATAACAATCAACATGCTGACAGTCAAGCATCAACATCATCAACCTACTCATGTATATGATTGTATATGTATGTATAAATAATCAGTATCTAAATAATTCTAAATATATCACTCGAGTTCACTCGTATATTGTCATCATATGAAGCTGTTGTGACTGGAAGCCAGTCCTTTCCGCCTCCAGGGCCGTCTCTTTGGAGGTTTCCTTTCCGGCACCCATCAACCTTGCAGCCTCACGAAGCCACGTCAGCTTTTTTTCTCATCATTCATGAACCCCCCCCCAGTTTTTGATCGCGAAATGCATGGTTTTCTGCTTGAAATCATCATTCTAGACCATTTTAGAATATGTTAGATCCTCTGCCAATCCGACATACCAAAAAATGTTCAAATTCTGAGCTGGATAGCTGGTTATAACAGAGTTTCATAGGATTTTCCATAGGTTTTCCTCAAAAAACCACCCGATTCTTCGGGATTTTCCCCGTCTCCCGGTCAGCGCCTGGCACAAGGCCTCCTCGGCCGCCTGCTGGCGATCCCGGCAGCGGGCCAGGAACTTGGCAAAGCTCAGCCACTCCTCGGGCGATGGTCGACCAAGGTACCAAGGTGGGAGCTACGGTGAACAATGGAAAATCCATGGGAAAATCCATAGGAAAAGCCATGGAGAATGGCGATTTGTTGATGATTTTTCATGGGAAAAGCCGGGAAAATTATGGAAAATTGTTGACCATGTTTTCTATATAATGGGATCATATGGGATATGATATACCTCAGCAACAATCAAACATGGCTGGCTGGGAAATCCCCGAACTACTGTAAATGAAGGTTTATAGCTGGGAAAATCATCGAACGAAACGGCCCGTGAAAATACATGAGTGACCTATTAAAATGGTATGTTCCATAGCTATGTGGGTCATTGTCAGAGGGTGTTTCCGATGGTTTCCCTGTAAATGGTCCTCCCAACGAATTTTGGGAGAGTTATCTGGGACATGTTTCCATCAGTTGTCTAATCTTGTCATGTAAACAGTATATTAAAAAATATTTAAAAAAACAACTGAGGTCAGCTAGTGACTAGTGAGTTATGTATCAATTAACTTATCCTGGGCTTTGCCACAGCGAAACGAAACACGGCAAGTCCAATGGGGACGGAGCAACAACCAGCTCCGGCTCGGTCGCAGGGTTGTCAGGCTCAGAGAGCAACAGATATGGTATATGGATGTATATGGATGGGTCCTGTACGATCTAGGGTTTATTCCAAGGAGGATGATAAAACATTCATGTTCCAAACTAGTTTTGCAATTGGGTTTACTTGGGTTTGTTTGAAAATAGGGCAACCCGAGATCCCCATTTTTTTCCGAGGTGCCACTGGGTCTTCGCGAAGGCTCAAGCCCTGGATCAGGAAGCGATTCCTGTGACATGTCGGAGTGGAGGGGAAACTGCTGAAGGATCTTTTTGGAAGGAAACCCTGGTTTTTGATTATGGTGTTTTTGGTTTTTGTTTTTGTTTTAATGTTTTTTGTCACCATCAAATATGTAGGGCGGTCCTTTTATGACTTTTATGTTGTTCCTTGTTTTTTCGTTGAACTACTTCTTGGATCTATGGACTTACTATAATAATAATAATAATAATGCTAGAGACCCGCCCAAATCTGGCAAATACCCGGTTGACTGGTTGGAGAAAGGTTGATTTAAAGTAAAATGCTGGTCCTTTGAGACCATCAATGAAATTCGAGAGAGATCTGCAAAATGCCAACGCATTTCAGGGGATCTTCCAGTCAGCCACTGCCAAGTTCCCCCGGGTAATACCCTGCTGCGAACAAGAGTTTGGGTGGGAAACCCCAGGTCCAAACACCTGAGGCCAGTTGATAAATGTCCACAAGAGTACATCAACGGCGTGCAGGTTTGCAAGCTCAAGGACAATCACCGAAGACAAGATCAACACTCGTTTTTTACTGGTCTTGGTGGGGGTTTGGAAAGATCCACCTTGTACAGATGGGGGCACCACCCAAATTCCATTACGGCGTAAAAAGGCTCGAAATGCGTTGAAGCCATCCAACAAAATGGATGTCTTTACCCCAATGATTGGATCGTTTTTTGACTCAAACCAAAGCTTGCTCCATCTTTCCCCCCTTTTCGAAAGCATCCCCTCTGCGACCAAAAAGCTGTAAGAGATGAGCTGCGCGGGTCCAGTTGCCCAAGAGTTCAGCCTAGCCAGCAAAATAGGCTCAGCAATGTGGGATTTCTATGGTGATTTGACGATAATAAATTGGGAGATTGAACCATGAACCACGAGGATCGCAGAATAATGGGACCATGACATACCCTGTTCTCTTGAGCACAAACCCAAAGCTCATGTTAAGCAGGTAAGAGTAATAGTATATCAATATAATAATGTGGGTAAAACAATAATAAACCATAATAAACCATCCCCAAATCGCCGTAAATAGCTGCTATAAACCATTCCCAAATGGATGGTTTATAATTGTTTTACCCACATGATACTGTATCTGTTATGTTTACTAGTGAAATATCCCATTACCCTCTGGTAAATTAACATAGACCCTGAAAATCACCATTTTTTAGAGGAAACTAATCTTCCAACCCCTATCTACCAGGGTCTATGTTAATTTACGGGAGGGTACCATTCATGGTCATTTTGAATGAATCCCAATAGCCCAAGATGTCCGCCTCATACGCCAAGCGCGCAAAGCGTGACGCCTCCTTCCGAGCCGCCGCGACAGCCTGGACGAGATCCCAAAGCTAGGTAGGGGATGGTAAGGGGTCCTTAAGGAGGTCCTAAAATGGGGATACCCCATTTAGAACCATTTAGAACCCCCAAATCATCCAAAATTTGGACATCTTTTTAGACCATGACTTAGTATTGAAAGCCTTTTGGCTTTGAATGGGGCTACCCCAAGAGCTGGATGGTTTACTGCATGCCATGGAAAATCCGATCTTTTAATGGATGATAGCCCCATTTTAGGAAACCTTCTATGGGGACTTCAATTGGCAAAAATTGGAGATCTGAGTGTCTCTAACCTGGATTGGCAAAAGTGGGAAATGAATGCGACGTTCAGCATTGATGCGGGATAGTGGGTCACCACAGAATGACTTGGGGGGAAGCCAGATATCGACTTGCCATGCTTTTAAAGTACTGAGTCGTTGAATCATCCCATTTTGGCTGCCCAAGTTTGGCTCATGTTCATGTTTGTGGACACATTGAAGGAAATCATGGTTTCGGAAGTTTTCAGAGGGTCTCCAATATGCGATATGATCCAAAACCTCAACATTAATCAACATTAAAGATATGATATGAAACCCCATGATTCACATCGGCCCATCAAAAGTAAATGCTGGTGTTTTCCGAAAATCTGGCGCGACAAAGGGCCCAAAATGTACCTGGCCAACACTCGTTTGTGCTTTTGAGGCGATGAGGCATACTATCGGATGCTGCGGCTTGGCAACATACAGCCTAGTATCCTTGCATGGGTGCTCAGAGCTTGGGCTGGTGCTGTGTTTCAGGTGGTTTGGCGTGCTGTAGGTTGGCAGCATACAGCCTAGTATCCTTGCATGGTGTGTGCTCAAAGGGTGGGCCCCTGCTGTGTTTCAGGTTGGCGTGCTGTAGGTTGGCAACATACAGCCTAGTACCCTTGCACGGGTGCTCAGAGCTTGGGCTGGTGCTGTGTTTCAGGTGGTTTGGCGTGCTGTAGGTTGGCAGCATACAGCCTAGTATCCTTGCATGGTGTGTGCTCAAAGGGTGGGCCCCTGCTGCGTTTCAGGTTGGCGTGCTGTAGGTTGGCAACATACAGCCTAGTACCCTTGCATGGGTGCTCAGAGCTTGGGCTGGTGCTGTGTTTCAGGTGGTTTGGCGTGCTGTAGGTTGGCAGCATACAGCCTAGTATCCTTGCATGGTGTGTGCTCAAAGGGTGGGCCCCTGCTGTGTTTCAGGTTGGCGTGCTGTAGGTTGGCAACATACAGCCTAGTACCCTTGCACGGGTGCTCAGAGCTTGGGCTGGTGCTGTGTTTCAGGTGGTTTGGCGTGCTGTAGGTTGGCAGCATACAGCCTAGTATCCTTGCATGGTGTGTGCTCAAAGGGTGGGCCCCTGCTGTGTTTCAGGTTGGCGTGCTGTAGGTTGGCAACATACAGCCTAGTACCCTTGCATGGGTGCTCAGAGCTTGGGCTGGTGTTGTGTTTCAGGTGGTTTGGCGTGCTGTAGGTTCGCAGCATACAGCCTAGTATCCTTGCATGTGGGCCCCTGCTGTGTTTCAGGTTGGCGTGCTGTAGGTTGGCAACATACCGCCTAGTACCCTTGCATGGGTGCTCAGAGCTTGGGCTGGTGTTCTGTTTCAGGTTGGCGTGCTGTAGGTTGGCAGCATATAGCCTAGTACCCTTGCATGGTGGGTGCTCAGAGCGTGGGCTGGTGTTGTGTTTCAGGTTGGCGTGCTGTAGGTTGGAAATGTACAGCCTAGTATCCTTGCATGGTGTGTGCTCAAAGGGTGGGCCCCTGCTGTGTTTCAGGTTGGCGTGCTGTAGGTTGGCAACGTACACCCTAGTATCCTTGCATGGTGTGTGCTCAAAGGGTGGGCCCCTGCTGTGTTTCAGGTTGGCGTGCTGTAGGTTGGCAACATACAGCCTAGTACCCTTGCATGGGTGCTCAGAGCTTGGGCTGGTGCTGTGTTTCAGGTGATTTGGCGTGCTGTAGGTTGGCAGCATACAGCCTAGTACCCTTGTATGGGTGCTCAGAGCGTGGGCTGGTGTTGTGTTTCAGGTTGGCGTGCTGTAGGTTGGCAATGTACAGCCTAGTATCCTTGCATGGTGTGTGCTCAAAGGGTGGGCCCTTCCTGTGTTTCAGGTGGTTTGGCGTGCTGTAGGTTGGCAGCATACAGCCTAGTATCCTTGCATGGTGTGTGCTCAAAGGGTGGGCCCCTGCTGTGTTTCAGGTTGGCGTGCTGTAGGTTGGCAACATACAGCCTAGTACCCTTGCATGGTGGGTGCTCAGAGCGTGGGCTGGTGTTGTGTTTCAGGTTGGCGTGCTGTAGGTTGGCAACGTACAGCCTAGTATCCTTGCACGGTGTGTGCTCAAAGGGTGTGCCCCCGCTGTGTTTCAGGTTGGCGTGCTGTAGGTTGGCAACATACAGCCTAGTACCCTTGCATGGGTGCTCAGAGCGTGGGCTGATGCTGTGTTTCAGGTGGTTTGGCGTGCTGTAGGTTGGCAGCATACAGCCTAGTACCCTTGCATGGTGGGTGCTCAGAGCGTGGGCTGGTGTTGTGTTTCAGGTTGGCGTGCTGTAGGTTGGCAACGTACAGCCTTAGTATCCTTGCATGGTGTGTGTTCAAAGGGTGGGCCGCTGCTATGTTTCAGGTTGGCATGCTGTACGTTGGCAACATACAGCCTAGTACCCTTGCATGGGTGCTCAGAGCGTGAGCTGGTGTTGTGTTTCAGGTTGGCGTGCTGTAGGTTGGCAACGTACAGCCTAGTATCCTTGCATGGTGTGTGCTCAAAGGGTGTGCCCCCGCTGTGTTTCAGGTTGGCGTGCTGTAGGTTGGCAACATACAGCCTAGTACCCTTGCATGGGTGCTCAGAGCTTGGGCTGGTGTTGTGTTTCAGGTGATTTGACGTGCTGTAGGTTGGCAACATACAGCCTAGTACCCTTGTGTGGGTGCTCAGAGCGTGGGCTGGTGCTGTGTTTCAGGTGGTTTGGCGTGCTGTAGGTTGGCAGCATACAGCCTAGTACCCTTGCATGCTGGGTGCTCAGAGCGTGGGCTGGTGTTCTGTTTCAGGTTGGCGTGCTGTAGGTTGGCAACGTACAGCCTAGTATCCTTGCATGGTGTGTGCTCAAAGGGTGGGCCCCTGCTGTGTTTCAGGTTGGCGTGCTGTACGTTGGCAACATACAGCCTAGTACCCTTGCATGGGTGCTCAAAGGGTGGGCCCCTGCTGTGTTTCAGGTTGGCGTGCTGTAGGTTGGCAACATACAGCCTAGTACCCTTGCACGGGTGCTCAGAGCGTGGGCTGGTGCTGTGTTTCAGGTGATTTGGCGTGCTGTAGGTTGGCAACATACAGCCTAGTACCCTTGCATGGGTGCTCAGAGCATGGGCTGGTGTTGTGTTTCAGGTGATTTGACGTGCTGTAGGTTGGCAACATACAGCCTGGTACCCTTGCATGGTGGGTGCTCAAAGCGTGGGCTGGTGTTGTGTTTCAGGTGATTTGGCGTGCTGTAGGTTGGCAACATACAGCCTAGTACCCTTGCATGGTGGGTGCTGAGAGCGTGGGCTGGTGCCGTGCTTCAGGTTGGCGTGCTGTAGGTTAGTATCCTTGCATGGTGGGTGCTCAGAGCGTGGGCTGGTGTTGTGTTTCAGGTGATTTGGCGTGCTGTAGGTTGGCAACATACAGCCTAGTACCCTTGCATGGTGGGTGCTGAGAGCGTGGGCTGGTGCCGTGTTTCAGGTTGGCGTGCTGTAGGTTGGCAACATACAGCCTAGTATCCTTGCATGGGTGCTCAGAGCGTGGGCTGGTGTTCTGTTTCATGCCATTTGGCGTGCTGTAGGTTGGCAACATACAGGCTGGTGTTGTAGGAACATTTTTGCGATGTGTTTGAGGTGGTTTGGGGCGCTGCAGATGGGCACCTTGAAGGTCCGGTGTTTATGGCATTTGGGGTGCGGTCAGCACCGCGGGTTGGCATGGTGGGAAGTTAGACGCTGGGATGTGTGTAGACAGTGAATATCCATGAGCAAATTGGGTGAATTGGTTCCTTAGGCTGGCTACTTTTAATTTTGATCGAGGTGCTACGTTTAAAGATCTGGCTCACTATCTCACTCATTTTGACTTGCTGATGATTCCAAAATCTGGCTTAGCTTCCATCAAGGCACTTGCATTTTAGGTACAATAATAAGAACAGAAATAACTCGTAGTGGTAACTATCAACAAGAATATTAAACAATTATAAACATATTTCTCTGACCACGGTCCTCGCCTCCGCTAGTTCACCAGTGGCATCGGGCCTGCACAGATTAGAGCACTTAAAGATGCCCTGAAAAAATCCTCCTGGATTGAAATGATTGGAGCACTTGTAGCAACCCCCGAAGAAATAGAAAAGTAATTGATCACTATTTTAATAGGTTTTGCATTTTCTGTTTTGGGGCTTGGTATACAATAATTCTGGTAAAATGAAAGGATTCGTGTGAATGTCTGTCCTGCTGTGCAACCCATTAGTGAATCTCGACATGTACACCATCCACATCCTTAAGATGTCTTAATATGTGCAGGCTGGCATTGTATGAGATGTATTTAAACATAATATAATACAATATAATATGCTATACTATACTATAATATGATGTAATATGATATAATATACTATAATATAATATGATATAATATAATATAATATAAAATAATATAATATATATAATATAATATAATATATATATATAATATAATATATAATATAATATATAATATAATATATAATATTATATAATATATAATATTATATAATATATAATATATAATATTATATAATATATAGTATTATATAATATATAATATTATATAATATATAATATTATATAATATGATATAATATAATATGATATAATATAATATGATATAGTGTAATATATATATATAATATATATAATATAATATATATATATATATAATATATATATAATATAATATAATATAATATAATATAATATATAATATAATATAATACAAAATAATATACTATACTATACTATAATATGATATAATATAATTTGATATAATATAGTAAAATATAATATAATACAATATAATATACTATACTATACTATAATATGATATAATATAATTTGATATAATATAGTAAAATATAATATAATAAAATATAATATAATAATATAATATAATAATATAATTATAATATAATCATAATATAATATAATATAATATTATATTATATTATAATATATTATAATATATATATGGTTATATATAATGTGTATATACAAATATAATGTGTATATATAATCACATATAATATACCCATGTTCGGCTGCCCCCTTTGGCTTTGTCTGGAGATGGGGTACCCCATGGCCTCATCTGCTTGTCCAGCACTTTGGCCGCCGTGAGTTGGAGGTAGGAATACCTAGCTTTGCGATTGGACCAATCGAGTCAGGGGGTCGCTCAAAAATGGAGTCAGGGAGTCTACCCACACAAGTTGCAAGTCTAGTGTTTGGCCATCCATTTTTCTTAGCTTTGGATTTCTTTTTCACATCAGCTATTCCCAGTTGACTTTTGAGCGCTCAACAGCAGGTGGAGATGTCGTTGAGATGAAGACAAACTGCTGTTGATGAGGGGATCGGGTTCCCCAAGGAACCAAATTGTCGCAATATGGGTATGGGTCAAAACCATTACCACTATTACCATAATATTCTGGAGAATAACTATCAATATCTATCAATTAACCAGCTATTTATGTTCCAAAAATCCATAGCTCTTTAACAGCAGGTTGCTGGTTCTCTCCCATCTTTACCTTTTTTAGGGCCCGAAAGATGGTTCTGGTGACAGCTCATTCAGCTCATCTCCCCATTTCTTCGCGCACGTGCTTGAGACAAAGTCGTCTCTGGCTTGTCCCTTCAGCGGTTTGCCAGGGACCGCTGCGGTATCCTGAGGAAAATCACACCGTGGCGAGAGGTCAATCACACCGCAGCAGTTCATGAAACAGGGCCCCAACATGTCAATGGCAATGGTCTAAGGGAAAACTGCAAGAAACCCATCGATTCGAACAACAGCCGCCAACTTTTTGAATTTTGGGGACAATAGAAAGTGAATCATGTGTGAAAAGAGAAAGTCTTTCCCACAAAAACATCCAAGTTCAGGAACGGTACCACTGGTTTCTTCGAGATTCCATCATATCAGAATACATGTATGTGTATATAATATATTATGATACGTCTATTTATATAATTTTCTATAATATCATATACAACAATATTATACAATCATATTATACAATACTATACTATAATATTATATATATAATATACAGTAAATGTATATGTACTACCCTCTGGTAATTTAACATAACTATGGAAAATCACCATTTTCCATGGGAAAACTCACTATAAATGGTGATTTTCCATAGTTATGTTAAATTACCAGAGGGTATATATACAAATTATGTCGAGAAATCCCAAGATCTCCCAACTTCCATCTCAGAAAAGCCAGGTCCTTCCGTAGCCGCTCCCTGAAGATGCTGATCTTGGCGCAGCTAAGGCGGTAAACCGGTTGGTTTAAGGGAAATGTGGCAGGGAACCCTAGTGTTTTCCATGAATTGTCCATGGTTTTTTAATGGAAAAATCTGAAAAAAAAAAAAACATGAATTCTCAGGGTTGACTTAGCAGATTTTCCTGTGACATACTGTGACCAATGTGTGCAGATCTGTCTATCTATCTATGTCTATCTGCGTATCTTCATCTATATCCATCTGTACCTATCTGCGTGTAGTATATAGCTCCATATAATTCTATATACTTCTATGATAATTCAAGAATGTGTACTTCTATGATAATTCTATGATAATTGATAATTTGATACAATTCTATGGTTATTATTATCTATGTATAGAATATATCATGTAAAATCATGTATGCCATTTGGAGGTTCTGGATGCTTTAAAAAATGTGTTCATGGAGGTAACCACAAATATAGAATCTGGAGTCCATCTGGGGTGCTGAAGACATTTTCCAAAGCAATTCTTGTGGTTGGAGTTGATCCACCCCACTGAAGAAAGTCGAGGTCATGCCCGAAGCTTTTCAGGAGAGAAACAAAGGTACTAGAACATCCCTAAATAGACGTCTTCCCTTCGTTTTTTGGGATGTTCAGCCAGGCCCTTTGGCTGACAGTTGCCAAAACTCAAGTACTCTAGGCAGGTTTAGAATCACGCCTGCAATTTGCGGTTGTCCCTCCTGCCCTGCATTCGGGCCACAATAGACTCGCGCAGGTTCTGTTTCACCTCGTCATAGCTCCCTACCTCCAGCTGCCAAAATCAATATCTGTTTAAAGTGAAGAAACAAACCACAAACCATCCTGCAAGGCGGCCTTAAAATTCGCCCTGCTTGGATCTGAACCTACTTTTGGTCCGCTCTCATGTGAGGGAAGTTCAACTGCAACACTTTCTATTCAGGCATTTGAAGGCGAACTTGAATGAAAATGTGATGTTTCACTGAACCACAGAGAATCTCTGCCCATCTATCTCTGCAGTTTTGGTGATCAAGTAGTGTCTGCAAATGATGAAGCCGCTCGTACAACAAATCGCTTCATCCACTCTGCTGTGCATCGAAGAACATCCTACTGGTTAATCCCCTCTCTGTTGTTCATACCAAACCCCCATAAACACCACCAGTTGAATTCCATAAGCCACAATTTCAAGTTATATCCCGTTGGCTACTATTGGATACTAATCCCCTATTGTTCATCCTTAAAGTCCATAAAACCATCAGTTGATGTATCCATGTCCGATACATCGCCGCCTCCTTCATTCGCTTCACCGCCTCTTCCCTCGGAAAAAGTCACCGGGTTTTTTCGCAAAACGGCTGGGTTGGAACCATGGGCCCCGAAAATCTTGGGAAATGTATGGAAAGGTTCATTCCATCCAATGGTTGATCGGTTGATCATCATTTTCCCAAAACTCATGGCCACAAATTGGTGGTTTTTTGGGAGCTAAATCATGTGAAAAATCCCTGCTTCCCTGCTTTCAGACAAACGGGATGGTTGACTCGAACTACGAAGCGCGATGACGAAGTCTGAGTCTCTCTATCATTCTTGTTGGCTCTCATAGGTATGGAGACTGACAAAAAACCATGGTTCGAGTTTGGGAGCTGATATATCCGCCCGGCTGACCTTAGCTACATGCCCGCTATGCCCACTATGCGGAAAAGTTGGTCCCCATTGTGGATATCCATGGTGGATATCAAACACCTCAGATTTGCTGTTCCTGCAAGATGTTGCCAATTCACCCAGGAACCCGACACCGTGCCGCCACAGCAATCCTGGAGGATGGCCTGATCCCAAGAATGGTGGGATGCAAAAGTGGTGGGTGGTTTCTATGGATTCGACCAACCAGTCTGGACAAGTAAGAAACTTTCGTTGGGATGTTTCATGATGTTTCTAATATACTATATACCCGGCCTGGTAAACTAACATAAACATAACATAACTATGGAAAATCACAATTTTTAATGGGTAAATCCACTATTTCAATGGCCATTTCAATGGCCATTTCAATAGCTTTTTGTAAACGTTGACCAGAGGGTACATGACCGGGATGACATGGCTTTGATGGTGCTTTGAGGATGTTTCAGGCTCGCCACTTCAATGGGTTGTTCTTTCGTTGGATGATAAAAAGAAAGCCGTCCCCAGTTTCCAGACATCCTGACCCTCAGAGACCACGATGATTGAAGCCCAATGATCACCAATTTCTTCATGAAAGTTCAATGAACTTAAAATGTCCCCAATGTTTTTCTTTTGGATTTCCATAAGTGTTCTCCCAATTTCTGCATCACATCACTTGTTTTGTTGCCAGCCCCCAGGCACCTTTCAACCCCCAGACTCCAAAGCCTCGCAGCTGCGTTGGATCACCTCCTGATACATCACCGCCGCCCCCTCCGAGGTCGAGAACTGGCCCAGGCCCATGCTGTGCGACAGCAACTTGCTGGGATGCACCTGCCCGCAGCATCCCATGGTGGCAACAGATCCCCAAATATATGTGATATCATATCATATCATATATATATACTGTATATATTCATATATCATATGGGGATATTATGGGGAATATGTTAATTTTTGTATGTTCCTATGATTATCATTAATTATTATAATAATATATTCCCCATAATATCCCATATGATATATGATATCATTGTGTTCCTATGATTATCATTAATATAATCATATATGGACATCATCGGACATCAGTTTTGATCCCAGTTGGAAGCTGTGCCACTCTAAGAATCTCGTCTCGTGGGCGACTCACTGATGACACTGGAAGAAATCCCAGTGATACAACTTGGCAGCACAAATGAGCCGTGGCCAAAAACGATAGGTATAAATAGCCCATGATCGTACATTAAAGGGTAACTATATAATTAATATGGATATATAGCGGAATGGAGTCCCACGTCTAGGGAACCGTTGAAAGCCAGGAAACAAGCATACTTTGGGCAGCAATTCAACCCCATACTGCATGGTGAATATCCCTACATTTGCTGATTGACATCCCAGTGCCGAAGTTTTCTTACCCCCTCAGTCAGCAGGCATCAATGCAAATTAGTAGACCACATCAGGTGGTGAAAATAATACAGCTAGGTTTGTCTGAACCTAGGGTACTCCCAAACCCTATGGTTTATCACAATTGTCCCCATTGAGATTCCATACATTGGAGGTTTTATATATATATATAGCATACATATATAACATATATATATAACATAAATATATATATATAACATATTATATATATATATATAACATATATATATATAACATATATATATAATGTTATATATATAACATATATATATAACATATATATATATAATGTTATATATATATAACATATATATATATAACATATTATATATATAACATATATATATATATAACATATATATATATATATAACATATATATATATATAACATATATATATAACATATATATATATATAACATATATATATAACATATATATATATATATAACATATATATATATATAACATATATATATATATTATATATATAACATATATATATATATATGGTTCAATCCGCCTCTTTCAGACACAACTGATGGAACCACACTCCAACCCCTCACCCCTCATCCTTTGACCTTCATGTCTTGACTTTCTGGTGGAGTGACGTCGTAGCTCAACTCCAAGGTCAATTTGGTGAAGCAACCGGCACCTGAGCCCGATGGCAAAAAAAAAAAAACATCCTGGGAGCGATTTCCCAAAGGCCATTGGAGAAATTTGGCAGTTTGCCAAAGAAAAACCTCAGGAATCGATCCTTCTGAAGAAAACTCAAAGGAGAGATCAAAGATCTTAAGATCTTGGATCGAAAGGGGGGAACGCTTTGAACTTCTCCTTTTCCAAAATAGGGTATATTCCCAATTATAGCCATTTAATAGGGATAATGATCATTAACCATTGGGTGCAGGGGTACACTATTTTCAGACACACCCTTAAATGAGCACAATACGGAGCTGGCGATCATCCACACAGCTTCAAGCCGCTCAGCTGTCGACTTTCCAAGACCGCCTCCGGGTCCTGACGCAGCGCCAGGCCCAGCGGGTCACCGCTGCCATCGCTAGGAGATGGTGCCATCGGTATGTTCGTCTTCCCACAGCAAATCCAACTTCTGGTAAACTAACATAACTATTGAAAATACACCATTTATAGTTGATTTACCTATTCAAAATGGTGATTTTCTATGGTTATGTTAGTTTACCAGAGGGTAGCTTCTGATTCCTGCCGATATATATATATATATATATATATGTGTTTTCTTTGGGGGGGGAAAAAAATCCAGGTAAATCCTCAAAAAATAACACGTTGATGTACCAAAAACAGTAATTGTTCCATATCAACGTGCCATCTTTCCTTTCGACCAATCCTTGGATCCTGCAGAACACGATCGGCTGGATCGGCTGGGTGTAAACTTGTACCCCAATAAATCCGTGGCATGTTTTTATCAGAATTTTCCCTATTGAAAGCTACAAAAATATAGTATCATAGTAGTTTCCCTGTTGATAATAGTGTAGTATGGGATATGATATTTAAATAGCTCTTTGGGGGTATACTATTTTCAGACACACACAACTTATCAAGTTGGTGACTTGTAATATCCCAGTAGATCTCATTAAGTTGCATAAAATCTCGCCAAAACCCCATGGCTCCTTTGCATTCGCTTCCTGGCACGACCAGGGTCAGATGGTCATTACGTCAGGTGTCATCGTATGGGATACCATGCACTAAGAGATAAGGATTGACATGGTCTAATTACTTTATGATATCCATAATATGATAGTAAAGCCATGAGTTCATGATATACTTATTTTTCCAATCTTCGCTGATTGACAGCTTGAGAATCTGAGCTTGTACTTTTATATAAGATGACGGATGCCCCAACATCCAGCGTAAAACGCTTTTTGTGTTGGCCCGCAACAAGAACCTTCACTACTCACTAGCAATGTGGATGTGGGAATAAGCCTTAATAAAGTACACCTCCTATGCTCAGATGGCTTCATATCATATGGGTCAAAATAATTCAAAATATGTCAAAATGATCAACTCCCAAAATGCATGGTCCTAGATTCTAGCCCCAGATCCCAAAAATGACTGCAGTAGCGCGGACCCATTTCTTTATCAGCCCGATGTTGGTTGACCACCCTCCCCATTTTCGTTGGATGACTTCCAATTCTGTTCGGAGAACTCACCATTATGGACAACTCCAAATCTTCCGCCGGCCGCTTAAGTTAAGGTCACGCGCCAACTTGCTTGGATCAGTCGTTTTCGCCCAGGTTTTTCTCGGATCACTCCCAGTTTTTCAGCCCTCGTCAACAGCGCCAGCCACGCCAGGCGGCAGAGCGCATCCACGCGCCGTGCACTTGGAGGGATCAGCTCTCCTGGGAGCTCCGGATGATTCGATCTCGTTCTATAGCTTGAATATGGGTTGAATATGGGTAATAACTTCTATATTGAAAAAAACTAAAAAAACTCAAATTGGATGGTTGGATATATAAGTTGAATAGTATAAAGAAAAAAGGCTCTGAATGGTGGTTTAAGAACTATAGTTCGACTGACAAGAAGTTCTAGGCTGTTTGATCTGTTGGGACGCACCCATTTTTGAGCCATGGACAAATACCCTCTGGTAATTTAACATAGCTATTGAAAATGCCCATTTAAAGTGAGTTTTCCCATTAAAAATGGTGATTTTCCATAGCTATGTTAAATTACCAGAGGGTCTTTGTCTTGGACCCCAAAAAAAATGTTGAAGTGGAAGATGATGCACCATGTGAGGGAACGCTGGCAGAACCAGCATTTCAGGGATTGGGAAGGTCTTGTTTTGGGCGTCTTCAACGGTTTAAAATGGAGCGGGCATCAAAAGTAGGCTGGTTGCTCAAAGTTCATTGGGGCACATTTTGATATGGTGGTTGATCTAATCATAATCTACATGAATTCTTTCATGTCCTTTCATCTTTACAAGGCCTTTAGATCAACCCCACCACTGAGATTTCCTTTTGGTTTCGTGGTGATGTATCAACGTGGCTAACACTTGGTCAACGAACTTCCGTGTCCAAAGACTGGAAAAAAACATCAAGGAAAAGAAGAACTCGTTCATTTACCTCTATATAATCCATATCCAAAAAGCTGATAATTGCAAACCCAGACCTTTCGTAGATCATACAGATACAGACTATCCCATGATTCTCGGACGCAGATCTTCGGCCAACGAGTGGCTGAGGTCGAGCCATGCAGTGCCGGAGCATTGCCTGTGGCCATCTGTGGCCATCCCACCAGAATGAATGGCATTCCTTACAGTAACTTACAGTATATAAATCCCAAAAAAATGGGAGCATCCCACCATGGCAAACCCATCTGGGTCGAAACCCTTGGACCCTGGTCTTCACACCGTTCCAATGGTCCAATGGATCTCCCCCCTTTTTGGAGAAAAAAGAGAACACAACGTGGTTCCTGCTGTCATAAGTTGGTTTGAAAAACCTCAGATACATATACCATAACCCTACCTAAGCTACTTATAAAATTTATAAACACCAACTTAAGCTATGTAGGGGTATAGACGGTATAGAGGTATCTACAGATCCCGACATGAGCAGTGGTCTAAACCATGTACTGTCATCCCGTTTTGCTGGATTCCTCAATAACGATTCCCGTTTCGTGGGGCATGATAATCTCCAACAAACCAGCCCCTCCACTTGGCTAAGTTGCTGAATAAGCAAATGGTTGACTAGGGCTTATATACGGTATGTGTATCTATAGTTTGGTGGCTTTATAGCCCCCCTACCCATTCACAGCCAGGTCGAACTAACCCACCCGGCACAGTCAAGACCTCGCCTCGCCAACTCCGCCCCACCCGGAGGATTTGGTTTTTTGGGATCCACTGGCGGTTTCTCCTGTGCACAGGGTGGGGATAGCACCAGTGTGTCTGAAAATTGTGGATTGAAGCCCCAAATTATGGCATTTTCTTTTCGAAAGCGATATGCAGTACAGCGAGTATTACACGTCAGCAGCAGCAAACCCAGGGCAGGTTGTCTATTTCATTTTGAGGCTTAAAGTTTCCATTCTTCTCGGTTTTGAGCTACAGGGAAAAGGAGATGAACAAATCGAGTTGTATTATACCATTGTTTCATGCTGGCAGCGGAGAATGTCTTGAGCTCGACAATGGTGAAATGGGTACGGGTATAGAATTGGTGGAGAAAATGTCCTAATACAGGAGGTTTTTTGTCGGAGATGTTGGAGGCGATGTGCAGATTCTGCAAGCGCGATTTCTGGCCAATGAGCTCTGGGGGCGCCTCTTCTAAACGGAGAGGAAATAGTGCGTAGAGATAATGAGTTGTTAAAGCAAATGTGGAATTCAGGAGAGGTAGGGTGGCGGATACTGTGTCCAAGGTATTTAATGCGAGAATCGGAGATGCGAATCGACGAGGGAAGACATGAGGAGAGGACGGGGTAGACTTGGGATTCTGAGCCGTAGACCCGGAGCTTAAATTTTTGAGAAAAAGGGTCAAGGGTTTTAAAGGCTGAAGATGCTGAAGAGGCTTGGGAACATCTGTAGTTGACATCTGGAACAGAGGAGGATGTACAGTAGGTGTAATGAGCGAGCCAAGGTAGTTGGCAGAGGGGAGGATGGGGAGGGTGTGCCAAGAGCATCAGGATTGACTGGGGATTGAAAGAACGGAGCACAAAAGGGGCACGAGAGCGAGACAGGCATGTTTGTGTGTATGCAGATTAATTTGCATTTGGCGCCGTTGAGGAGGAGTCCAATACGAGCGGCAAGGTGTTGGAGATGAAGGAGGCGGGAGAGAGTGTCATGAGTTCGTGCAATGAGAATAGTGTCATCTGCGTATTCAACATCAGTAAGTGGTGGGAGGAGGAATATGTCCAAGGAGTGTAGGAGAAGATGTCTTGAAAGAAGGAGTTGAGGTCTGAGGTGAGAGCGGATAGGACGATAATAAAGAGGTATGGGCTCAACGGGCAACCCTGTCGGATTCCTCGCTTCTGGGGGAAACTAGGTGAGTTGGAGGAAAGTTCTGAGAAACTGTGCATTGGAATAGAGGGACATGGCTTTTAAGAGAAGAGGAGGAACCCCGTACCGCGAGAGGGCGGCGGCAAGGTGTGGATGTCCGACAGAGTCAAATGAGTCAAATGCGTGGGACCAGTCAAGGAACAAGATTCTGTGGAGAGATGTGGAATGACGTTCAAAGATTTCAGTGAGTCTGCGGAGTAGGAAGAGCTGAGGAGGGTGGGGAGAGCTTTGTTGAATTGATGCATAGACTTGGTAGATGGAATTTGCGAGAGAGAGAGGCAGATAACGGCTAGACTTGTTGTTGCCCTTATACTTATATTTATATATATATATATCATTATGACTTTACTTAGTTTCCAATGGTCCGGGGCAATACCAAGAGCGAGACAGTCGTTATAGTGGGAGAGGAGAATGCCTTTGATGGGCTGGGGGAGTAATCTGAGTGTTTTCATAGGGAGATTAGTGCAAATGGTGATTCAACATCAAATTTGGGGTGGGGGGTGCCCACAATCTTCAGACAACCCAAGTCAAGCTTGCTTGGTTTTTGGGTGAGGGTGATGCTTCTCCATAATATGAGCCGCATGGATGGGACGCCAAAAAGTAGTGAAGAATCCCATGTTTCTGCGAAGTCAATTGCCGAAGAGCAGCCAGCTCCAACAGCAACACCTTTCAAAATCTGTCAAAATCACCCAATCTTATGCAGCCTGAAAGTACAGTAATTTGTTTGACTCTGTCAGCGAACCAGGCAGCTTCCACAACTGAGACTCAAGAGATCTGGAACCAAGAGGCAGTTCTGATCTGCAGTTCTCAGCTCTGCCCTGCACAACATTGCCCCTCAATGAGTATGCTCCTTGCCCTCAAGAGAAACACTACAGGAAACACTGTACCCATCTCCCAGCTGAAACCTCCAACTGGAAGTAGAGATAGACCTTAGCTGCTTAGCTCTGCTATGGCTGGATCCCCAAAAAAAGGCCTTCCAAAAGGTATCCATTGAGGCCGTTTCAAGATCCAACAGTTGTAACCTGTAGAGGATCATCCCCAATGCCATGGGAGCTTCTAAAAAACTGGTGATTTTCAATCCCTCCGAGGATCTCCCGGAGAAGCCCATTGTCAATGGCAAACCGGGCAACAAACATGTCATATGTGCCATGATTTAAGAAACATGGAGTGTTTTCAAGTAGTGAGAGATGGTCATCAATCACGAATGGGCTGATAAAGAAAGGGATGTAAGTACCTGTCAATTTGACCCCATTTGGACTTGCACCCGCCATATGAAGGCTCACGAGTTGTCCCAACTTGAGAAAAGGGAGTTTCGCTTGTGACTGGTTGTAGTGCCCCTACTTGTTGTGTTTACATTGGTAGCGGAGCCTTCTGGTGGGCTTTTGTAAAACACCAGCAAAGATCAGCCATAGCCTGCTGTGTCTGGTCTGTGGATAGGGCCGAAGGCGACGTCGCCGTTGGGGCACTAGAGGGTTTGGATGATGTCAGCTCCGGTGGCTGCCGCTCCTGGGGATACTTCTGACGGGGTTGATGAAGCCAGTGGAGGGTCCACTGTTTCTCAGGATGAACAACCCAGCTCAGGACAGAGGTGGAGCGAAGACGACTGGCGTCTTTGGAATGCTGGCCAGTGGCCGACGAGGGCAATGGCATCATCTACGCCCACTGTGTACGAGGCTTCTGATGGAGCTGAACAACAAGCTGGGACGAGACAGCGAACTTCATGGTGGTCGAGCTCTACGGCGACAACATGGGAGGACCCGTGGACCAGATGGCGAGACCCATGGTCTTCAGGCCGATCAGATGAGGTCTTGGATGAGCGAGGTGGGGGCACTGACAAGATAGCGGTGCCAGAGTTTTCAGGAGAAGACGATCGAGATGGGTGCAAGGCCAAGAGCTACTTGCGGAAGGTGCAGGCCTGGAGACGAGTGACACGTCTCAAGCCTCACAAGCAAGCTCTGGTCTTGTACAACGGCTTGTCTGGTAAGGCTTGGAGAGACGCCGAGGAGATCGACCTTGCGGCCTTGGACTCCCCCGACGGCGTTGACGTCTTTATGCAGTGGATCACGGAGCACTACCTGGACAAGGAGATCGTGAAGGCCGGCAAGTACATGAGCGACTTCTTTAAGCACTACAAGCGTGGCCATGCTCAGGATATCCGAGATTTCAACATGGAGTTCGACAGGCACATCAGCAAGTTGAAGGAGGTTGGATGCGTGCTGCCAAGCGTATGTTGCGCTTGGTGGTACATCGACAAGTTGAGGATGGACAACGCTGCGGAGCTCAACCTTCTCTCCTCTGTGGGGAACCAGTACGAGCTGATCCGCCTCCAGGAGGCAGCAGTGGTTCAAGACCGGATGAACCGGAGAATCTGGGAACAGCGGAAGGTCGACACCAAGAAGAACCAGGTCTATGTGGCTGAGATCGAGGACACCCCGGACGATGAAGAGGACCCGGAAGACCTCGAGCTCTACGACCTTGAGGAGACTACGGAGGTTGACGATGACGAGACTCATGAGGCATACGTCGCTTTTCAGAATGCCAAGGCAAAGTACAGTAGCATGCTCAAGGCCAGGGGCACCATCAGCCCACAGTCTCGTGAGGAGTCTCTGCAGAAAGCGAAGGCACGTTCTTACTGCAGTGCCTGCGGCAAGAAGGGGCACTGGCATAAGGACCCCATTTGTCCAAAGAACAAGCAGGCATCAACGACTGCACCGCACACCACCCACATCGCCTACTACACCAATGGTCAGATGGCCGACCTGGAGGTGATTGTTGACTGCGCTTGCAGCCGAACACTGGCTGGTCCGGAGTGGGTGAAGGCCTACATGAAGAAAGCCGATCAGTGCGGTGTGCCGTACTTTGTCATGCGCCAGAACGAGACCTTCAAGTTTGGGGGCCCCAAGGTTTATCCTTCGACCAGGGCGATGGTCTGCTTTCTTTGCCTTCAGGGCAAATGGTTTGCGGTGAAAGTCGCCATTGTGGCAACCCACGTGCCGCTCTTGCTGAGCCGCCCGGTCTTGGCTGCCTTGGGGATGCAGTTCAAGTTGGAAACCAATGAGGCCAACTTCACCAGCTTAGATCTTGAGGACGTAGCTTTGAGTTTTACTGCTTCAGGCCATCCTTGCGCTGAAGCTGTTTCCTTTTCTGGCCAGCCACCTGCTTGGCCTGACCTGGTGGACTGGAGTGTGACAGAAATTCACATTCCAGTACGATCTGAGCGCCGTGAAGCATACATGGCGAGTGCTGCTTCAGAGGGTATTGGGATGCTTTTCTATCCAAAGGTGAAATTTCAGGTACAAGAATTTCTATGTAGAGATGTTTTGCCTGTTGAGACTTTCATGCATTGGTGGAATGGTCAACCGCCTTCTCGTGACTTTTGGATTGAGACCGAAGAGTACATGTACCGCATCCATGTCACACCACGGAGAACATTATTTGACCCTTCCAATTGGCAAACATCACAAACTGAACTTCGAGACCTTTTGTTGCAAAGATTGGGAACCTGCCGAGAATCAACTTGCATACCATGTCATGCAAAATGCCATCATATTGTGGTCGAACATTCTTGGAGAGAAGATCATGGACCACGAGCTGAATTTCTTTGGATTGGCCGCAGCCGTTTTCAACGGAAAGCTCAAGCCGCCCCACGCTCCTTGTCTTCTACGGCATCCCATGTCCACGAGGGCAACAACCCCATCGCTATGGAAGATGAAGCGAGAGGAGTTGGTGATTGCCCTCGAGAAGCTGGGGATCTCGGTGAGGGCGGAATGGACAGTGCCCGAACTGAGGGCAACTCTGATCGAGCATCAAGAGACTCATGGAACTCCCAACTCGAAGGTGAAGGGCCTCACTCGGCTCACCGTGGACGAGCTGAAGGACAAGTGTGCAGCCGAAGGGATCGCCATGCCGAACAGCAAGCTGACCCGGGGGCTTCTGATGAAGCTCTTGAGGGAGAACGCACCCCCAACAGGGGACGAGGTGGTCTGCTTCGGGATGTACAAGGGCTATCTCTACAAGGAGGTCAACGAGAAGTACTTGGAGTGGGCGATGGAAGAGGTGGCTGCCAATCCTCAGCACTCCTTGGATTTGGCACGCCTGGCCAGGTGGGCACAAGCCCGCTCCACCATGCCTGGAACTGGTTCAGGGCCATCGGCACCCGAGGTGGGAGCAGTTGTGCCGCTGCCCAAGGCAGCATACCCGGTGCCGAAGGTCAACATGCCGATGAAAGAGGAGACGTCGTCGAAACAGTCAAGAACTTCGAGGACGAGACCCTTGGAGATGGAGGAATCGAGCGAGTTCTCGGAGGTGGAATGGGCGACGGAAGATCGCATCAAGGACATGGAGGCGAGGTTGGCGATCCTACGACAGATCAAGGAGACCGAGGACAAGCAGGAGGCCAAGGCCAAGGCAGTCCCTCCAAAAGCAAATTGAAGAAGAAGGCCTACTGGCAGAAGGTTGATGAGCTGAGGGAGATGAGGAGATCGATGAGACACGAAGCGCTTTGGGTGGCTACCAACGACTCTGCAGAGGAGGACCTCCCGGAGAAGGACATCGTCGAGCTCTATGACCCGGACACCATCGAGGCTGACGAGTATGACATCGACAACGACGGCTTGCCCAAGGTGAACCTCAACTACCCCTCGGACTATGACGTGGTCCGCAACTTGCCGGCCAAGAGGATGAAGAGGGCATCACGGAAGAGGGTCACGGGGTGGGCTCAACGAGCTTTGACTTGCCTGTGTACCACCTTGGTGGCATTGGCCTCTCCAGTGGCCGAAGAGCTCAAGGAAGTGGTGGTGGAGCCACTACATGATGCCTATCTGGCTGTCTCCGGTCATCGACCTCAAGAGGAGACGGTCTCCTTGCTGGAACTCTTTGCGGGGTCGGCCCATTTGACGGGCTACTTTGCAGCCAAAGGACACAATGTCCTGGAGCCGCGAGACATCGTCTACGGACACGATTTGTTCGACAGGCGCCAGCAAGTGTCTGTCCTGGAGGACATCCAGAGGATGAAGCCCCGACTTCTTTGGGTGGCTTTACCTTGCACAAAATGGTCACCTTGGCAGCGATTGAACTATGCCCATCGGCGACAACAACTTCGGCGTGAACGAGCCAAACAACGGAAGCTTATGAAGTTCACCCTGGACTGCGCTTGGGAACAGCTTGATGCCGGTCGTGAGGTTGCTTTTGAACACCCTCGCGACTCTGGGATGTGGGAGGATTCAGCTTTGGAACCTCTCATCAATTCACCATTGATGTCCCACCTTCGACATGTGTCGCTATAACCTGAGGGCTGTCACGGATGGCGGTAGGCTCAGGAAGCCTACTAGGGTGGTGGCATCGAATCATCTGCTGTTGGACGGTTTACGTCTAACCTGTGGTGGTGGCCATGAACATACCGCCACACAAGGAAGAAACACCAGACCTGCCGGAGTCTACACCAAGGAATTTTGCAGGGCCATCTTCAAGGGCTATGAGAAGATGACACACTCTCTTTGGTATCATCGCGAGGAGCAAACTTGGGAAGCTATGCCTGTGGGGACTACTTCGTCTACATCTTCCGCATCGAGGAGTCCTCCCGCGCCACATCAAAGTCACGTTCGAGATGCCCAAGTTCCACCTCGTTCTGGAGACCAACGACGTGCTGATCACCAACCTGATTCTGATCAACAACCTGGTGCTGCTCTACCTGGAAAAGAAGGAGCTGCAGGAATACATCTGCCCAGCAGCGTGCCCAACCACATTGCGAAGGCTCTCAAGAGGATCCACCAAAACTTGGGACACCCTTCCAACGCCGACTTGAGTAGACATCTACGTCTTGCCGGTGCTGGAGATTTAGCAGTGAAGGCAGCACAGGCCATCAAATGTGAGACCTGTTCTCGGCTAACTGGCCCCGGCACTCGACGCCCTGGCCGTGTGGTACGCCCATTGGACTTCAACCAAGAAGTATGTGTGGACACCATCGCCCTCTACGACGTGGACGGGGGCAAGATCGATGCCATCTCCATCTTGGACGTGGCCACTGGCTATCACTTGGTTTGCAGAATCCGTGGACGCAAGTCAGCTGACCTCCTCCAAGACTTCATGGATCATTGGGTCCAATGGGCGGGCCCACCTTTACAGGTAACTTGTGATGAAGAACGAGGCCTGATGAAAGAGTTCACTGACGGCCTCGACATGCTTGGGATCCGATCAAGGTACACTGCAGGACAAGCTCACTGGCAGAATGGGGCTGTCGAGAGACAGAACCAGTGGTTCCGGGCTATATGGGAACGAGCGGTTGCACATTCCCAGACAAAATCCGGAGAGGTTGACTATGCACTCGCAATGACCTGTGCAGCCAAGAACAACTTGCGCCGCCATCATGGATACTCTCCGGCACAATGGCTCTTCGGATCAGAACCACGTACTGGGGATGCCATGCTGGATGAGAATGAAAAGCTATTTCAGCTCGAAGAACTACGCACAGAAGATGACCTTTGGCGTCGCAAACAACAGATTCGCTATGCTGCCCGCATAGCCTTCTTGGAGTCACAAGCCGATGCTGCAACCAAACGAGCTCTACTTGGACGCTCTCGAGTATATCCTGGGCCTTTCTCGGTGGGCGACTATGTGTACGTCTTCAGGGTCAACAAGACGGCTGGAGGTAAAGCTCGACAACGGCAGAATGTAGGTGAATGGATCGGGCCGGGTGTGGTCATTGGAAAAGAAGGTGAATCCTATTGGATCTCACGTGGGGGCCGTTGTGTCCTCTGTGCAGGCGAACATCTACGTCCTGCTGAGTCTGAGGAGCTTGGCCAGGCCTTTCAGACCCAAGCTCTCAAGGATGACCTGATGCGGGTGGTCCAGAACCTCAAGGACGAAGACAATGATGAGGTCTTCGCCGATGCGACTGACCCTCCCCCGCTCAACAAAAGGGCGGTTGAAACACAACTGGTTCCAGAGCGTCGGGTCACAACCAAAGGGACAGTGAGAATGCTGAAGAGGCCAGTTCCTCAACCTAGTGATGACCAACCTGGCCGCATATCACCTGCTCAACAAAATGCACAAGATCTTGGAGCTATCCCCGAACGTGATGTCGAGGACGCGCTGGATGATGCTGTGAACCAGGCCTTTGTGGTCGAACGCCGAGCTCCTCGAAGCACCATCAAGCAGCTCGACAAGGAAGTTAAGTGGGAAGAAATCCCAGAAGATGAGAAGCACCTCTATCTCGAGGCTGAGAAGAAACAATGGGATGAACACCTCCGCTATGAGGCCGTTCGGGTACATCCTCCTGAAGATGCTGGTCTTCTTCGAGCTAAGGTCCCCGCCAACAGGATCTTGAAAGCTCGTTTCGCTTACAGAGACAAGAATGTGGCAAAATGCCGGGAGGACCCAACCATACCGGCAAAAGCAAAAGCCAGACTATGCATTGGAGGTCATATGGACCCTGACCTGCAGAAAGGCGAGATCAACACTGAGGCCCCTACGGCTTCCAAGACATCGATGTTCACATTGCTTTTCTTGGCCGCCCAATTTGGCTGGCGACTTGCTGCTGGAGATGTGGAGGCTGCTTTCCTCAACGGCATTGAGTCCAAGCGCAACTTGTACTTTGAGCCTCCCAAACGCGGGCTCCCTGGAGTCGAACCAGGCTCCTTGGTGGAAATCGTGAAAGGGGTCTTCGGCCTCTCGAACAGTCCGAGGCTTTGGTGGGACAAGCTGGCTGGGGAGCTGAAGAATCTCGACATCATTGTCGACGGCATCCCGCTCCGCTTGGCACACCATGATTTTGACCCATGTCTTTTTCTTTTGCAAGAACGGGACGATCCCAACAAATTACGTGGCGCCTTGATCACCCACGTGGACGACCTGCTGATCGCCGCGCCACCTGGTGAGATACAACAACTGATGAAGGGCCTCTCAGCGATCTTCCCCATCGCTGAGTGGGAGCAGGGCAACTTCGAGTACACGGGCTCTACGATCACCCAGTATGACGACGTGATTGAGGTGCACCAGAAGTCGTACATTAACTCCCGCTTGGAGACTGTCGAGTTCCCGGCTGTGTACAACCTCGACGACCCGGCAGATGAGGTCACCAAGCAGGATAACATGAGCACTGTGGGGGCTTTGTCGTGGCTGGCATCACAAAGCCGACCTGACCTCCAAGCTGGAGTATCACTTGCACAACGAAAACAAAAGTCTCCAACATACGGAGATGTGAAGGAGACAAACCGTGTGGTCAAGATGGCCCAAGCTGGCAAAGATGAGCCCTTGCGGTTCACCCGGCTTACGGATGACCCTAGCAAGCTGCTGCTTCTGGTATATCACGACGCAGCCTGGGCCAACGTGCAACCTGACCCCGTCGCTGAACCTCACGAAGCAGATGATGCACAAGGACAAGGGGTCTATTCCCAACTTGGCCACGTGATGTTGATGACAACACGGGATGCTCTTGAAGGAGTTCGTTGCCCGTCTATGGTCGTTGGATGGAAGTCCCAGGCCTGCCCCCGGGTGTGCCGCAGCACCTTCGCAGCTGAAACAATGGCGGCCCTGGGTGGATGGGAAGATGCTCTGGCATTCAGAGCCTATGTGGCCGGGGCTCTCCGACCAGGCGTGGCCACCACCCGTGAGGAGATGTCCAGAGACCTGTTCCCTATCGTCTCTGTGACGGACTGTAAGTCCCTCTACGACAATGTCCACCGTGTTGGTGGCCCTCGTGCTCCCACCGAGAAACGCCTCCTAGTCGATTTGACTGCTTTGAGGCACATGGTCAACGACGAATACCAGAGGTGGGGCCGAGAACTACCTGGTGCAAAGACCCTTCGTTGGGTGCCAACTAAGTCACAGTTGGCTGACATCCTCACCAAGGTCTTGAACGACGTAAAGCAGTGGTGGTGGAACGTGAGGTGGACGGATCTGCCATTTAGTGCAAGTCCAACAGTATAGTTATGGAGTGTCAATTTGACCCCATTTGGACTTGCACCCGCCATATGAAGGCTCACGAGTTGTCCCAACTTGAGAAAAGGGAGTTTCGCTTGTGACTGGTTGTAGTGCCCCTACTTGTTGTGTTTACAGTACCCATTATGACTCCAAATATTAGGGATAGATGACCAGAAACCATGTGAACCATGTGACCATGGCACACATTCAACTCATAATCTGCTGATTTTGAGTTTCCATCCTTCAACCAGCACATTGAGCCATTGAGCGATCTCAGGGCGCCCCCGCCCCACCGCTGGTGCTCAGCATCTTCCGCACATCTTCGATGAAGCTTTTACCTCGGTACCTTTTTGGCGCGATGGGTCGGTGCGGGGGAGAATGCCAAACAAAAGGGGACTTGCCAACAAGGGGATTGGGGATCATCACCTAGGTGGGGGCCAAGTTCAGTGTTGGGGGGCCAGGGGAGCTGGGTCTGGTCTGGCTGGTCATGTTATACCAATGAAGGGGGAAACAGTTTTTGTTTGGGGCCTTGTTTCGAATATTGAAACAGCTCCAACGCAAGCTCGATACATAGAAGAAATAAATTGTAAAGAGTGGCTTCTCGACTTCTGGCGAATGTTCACATTTTGTAGTATAATTTATTTTTCACAAAATCTCGACACAAAACAGGCCACTTTTTTTGAGGCCAAAAGAGTCCAAAAGACTTCATCGACCTCAAGGGTCCATCATCCCATCCCCCTGACCCGCGGGTCCCGCGGGTCACCGAATCAAGCGCTCGGAGGCAAACTTCACGCAACAATGGAAGCGCATCTGCTCCTCCCGCCATTCCTCCTGAAGCGCCATGTTAGTTGAAACCATTGAAACCAAGAAATCAATACCGGATCACCATGTGGCTTGCGCCACATGGCTGTGTCCTAAAAAGAGAAATAGACCCCAAATCAGGCCACGTCCACAGTTCAATCATATACATTCTTGTACATATATATATATATATCTGTGTGTGTGTGTGTACACTTGCAAATGTGTATATATATTTAGATATGTACACATGCCATACATCAATGCACGTGTGCATTTAATCCCTTCCCCCTAATACTAAACGTCCCCCCCTAATAATAATAAACACCTCAGGTAGTTTTTATTATTAGGGGGTATTTAGTATTAGGGAACCCTATTAATAAATTTAAAGCCTTAATAATAGAAACTATTTTTTCCGATTTCAAAATCAATTAAATTTCCTTTTATAACGCAGTTAAAATATTGCCAAAAATTGGATTTCGAAGCGGGCCCTATTAATAAATTTAAAACCTTAATAATAAAAACGTTTTTTTCGATTTCAAAATCAATTAAATTTCCTTTTATAACGCAATTAAAATATTGCCAAAAATTGGATTTCGAAGCGGACCCTATTAATAAATTTAAAGCTTTAATAATAAAGACTATTTTTTCCCGATTTCAAAATCAATTAAATTTCCTTTTATAACGCAATTAAAATATTGCCAAAAATTGGATTTCGAAGCGGACCCGATCAATAAATTTAAAACCTTAATAATAAAAACGTGTTTTTCCGATTTCAAATTCAATTAAATTTCCTTGTATAACACAATTAAAATATTGCCAAAAAATTGGATTTCGAAGCGGACCCTATTAGTAAATTCAAAACCTTAATAATAATAACTAGTTTTTTCGATTTCAAAATCAATTAATTTTCCTTACATAATGCAATTAAAATATTGCCAAAAATTGGTTTTCGAAGCGGGCCCTAATAATAAATTAAAAGACCTAATATAAAAAACTAAAAATTTTCGGACGGACCCTAATAATAAACACCCCGGGGTTAACTAGTTTTTATTATTAGGGGGCGAAACCCACAAATGGTAGCTTTATTTCTAAATTGTTGTCTAAAGGGGATCAATTGAAAGTCAAATTGGCCAACCTGAAATGTTCCAAAATGGGAGATGGACCCTAGTTTTTAGTATTTGGGGGTGGTTTAGTAATAGGGGGAAACGATTATACAATACAGTGTATTATACATCTATACAAAGACAAGACATACCTAACTTTATTAAAATTATGACTACACGTGCATGAAAAAATTGGCTCCCTAGCTTTGGCGACTCCGTGGGCTTTCTGCTTGACCATCCCAGGAATCGCTACCGTGGTACATCCAAAAACATGGTGAAAACGCTACCCTCTGGTAAACAAACAAAAAGCTATTGAAAATGACCATAGAAATAGTGGATTTTCCCATTAAACCATGGTGATTTTCCATAGTTATGTGGCTGTTTACCAGAGGGTAATTTCCAAGAGGCAACCGAACAAGAGACAAGGTCTACGGACTGTGCATCCTTGTGGCCTGTCTGAATCGCCATGTGGGGAAACTCCTGTGTCACTTCCTTCTCCTCGGCAGGTGCCTCTGGGTCTACAGCCTCGGACTCCTTCACCTGTGACCCCAGATGGTTGTTGTATGTATCAATATCCATGTGTTTGTATATGTAATGTAATGTATTTTAATGTAATGCAATGTAATGTAATGTATGTATCCATATGTATGTATCCATGTATGTATCCATATGTATGTGTTCATATGTATGTATCCATATGTATGTATATGCATGTAATGTCCTTTTGGTAAAAATAGAGGGGCCGGGAGCTGGTATACCATCTATCATCAAACAAACCTATTGTTAAAGGGGTTTCTTCAAACTTTTTTTATCAACCAACCAATGGGAAAAGGACATCTATGTCAAAATCCATGTGTTTGTTTATATATATATATGTGTGTATACATACAAAGGCTTTTACATATAGTTGTTGATTTGGTTATCTATTCTATCTATTATCTCATAGTTTTAAGATGTTTAGTTCATTTATCTTATTTCTACGTACATCTAGCTGCTCAACTATGTACTTATTTGATTTTTGAATGGAAACATGGAGAGCGAGAAAGACAAATGGATCTATCATACAAGAGGCTATAGATACAAAAAATGCCTTTGTTCAATTCTATGTGCATACAAATATGTAGATACATAGATGCAACAATAGGTACCTCCACAACACAAGATGTATTTCAATGTGTTTGTAGGTAAGGATCCCACTTAATTCCACCAACACTCATCAACAAGGACTCTGTTGTAGTTGGCATGGGAGGGCTGGACATAAGCAGTTGGGGGCAAGGTTTCGACATGTCCAAACTCATGACGCTGAGAAAATGCAAAACCAGCAGTGCCAAAAACGACTGCCCTTTTGATAGGATACCCTAGGGAAAATTAGCCTGTATATGTATATATAGATGGGAAACCCAAAAAAAAATCCGGTTCGGAAAGTGATCTCCAATGGTGGGTCTTCCACATCTGCGTTCGTTGGAGGGTGTCATGAAAATGGCCACTTGTAGCAAATTGGATCCAGTTGTCGATTCCCAAAATCCCAGAAAGTTGCTATTTAAAATGGTATTTCTAATGGGGCAAATGATGACAAACCATGGGATTTTTCAGGGGTTCCATAGGGTTCCCGTTGATTTTCAGAACGTTGAAATGTCCAGCCGTTCAATCCGCCGTTTCTGAACACAGTGCGCCCACCCGACGGCTCAACCGTGATGGAGCACTTCTTTGTTCCGTGAATCTCAAGAGGATGGAACCTCATGTGCTGTTTTAATGGATACCTGGTAAACAGCCACATAACTATGGAAAGATCCACCATGGTTTAATGGGAAAACTCACTATTTCGACTGGGCTTTTTGTAAACGTTGACCAGGCCGGGAAACCAGTCGATGGTAAAAGATGATCCATGATGATATGATGCCTAGTTGGATTGTGCGAGCTTGCAATATGTTACACTATATTAATCTACACTATATACACAATATATTTATCTATCATATACACTATGCAATACATCTACATTAATCTATTAATCTATATTTAATATACACTGTATTATGGTACATTGCATTGCATTGCTGTACATGATTATAGAATGTCGAATCATGTCTTATCATAATATATAATATTGTATCATATCATATGATGAATATAACATTAGATTATATTAGATCATATTTCATCATACTATATCATATTGCATTATAGTTCATTCTATACAAAAATATCGCAATATGATACTAGATGTAATATGATATAATATGATACATATATATATATATAATGATATACTATGATATGATATAAGATGATAGGATATTGTATGATAATGATATGATATAGTTAAATACAATACAATACAAGACAATACAATACAATACAAACCAATATTGAAATAATGATGTGATATTGTATATAATCATGTAATTTAGTTTCATATATCATAATAAAACAATATATAATGCAATACCGTATAATATAATATCGTACTATATAATATTGTAGTATGTAATATAATACCACAGAATATGCAACAATATAAACTAATATAATATAATATACTGAAATGTAATATCATTTAATTTGAGGTAATATAATGCAATGTAATTAATAATGTAATGCAATCTAATAAAATATGATGGAATATATAATACGATATATATATATAATGTACTATAACGTAATATTGTGTGCGTTCGTTAGCACTGCTTCCTTTGCTGTCTCAAGATTTGCCTGGTAGAGATTCAGCTTCGGATCAGGAGACAGATTCATTGCGAAAAAGACATAGCGAAACAACGCTGGGAGTAGTATATATATAGATAGATAGATAGATAGATAGGTAGATAGATAGATATAATATGACATAATAGATATGATATAACATACTGCAATACAAATCAACACGATACTATAGAAAATGACTATACTGTGACTATACTTTACAAGCTTTGTTTTATCAACCTATCCATCTCTCAACATACCTAGGTATCTACCTATATACCTTTCCAATTGCCCAGCAATCCACCTGTCTGCCTATCCATATGAGCCATAAACAGAGTGGACTCCAAAACGGATGGCTGCTTCGCGCAAACATACCCATCCACGGTTTTTCGGCATAAGGGG